TAGATCCGTTCCAGAGCGTTCCAGAACGCTGCAGTGCCCGATGCCTCCCTCAGAATCGTCGGATCTCAGAGACCCCCGATTCATCCTGGCCCGATCTGATCCTCGTCCGGCCTTTGTCTCACTTGTGCTACACTACATGTTCGAGTTGCCCCTCCTGGGGCCCCTCCTGGGGCCTTGCAGGGGCCCCTCCCTGGCTATCGCGGGCGGCTCCTGGGCCAGCTTGCGGCCCTCTGGGGCCAGCTTGGGGCCCTCCGAGGCGACATGGTGCAAGAGGCTGTGCCATGGGAGTGCCCAACAGAGGCACACAGCACCAGCATGGCCCCCGTGCGCCCCGTGCTCTGACCCAGGTCGCCCGGAGAGTGCGCGGAGGTCGCCCGCGCGCCGCGCGGGCCGCGGCCACGGGCCCGTCCGGGGTCGGCGGCACGAGGGCGCGGAGATAGCCGCGAGGGCGCTTCGGCGGCGCCGCCGCCGCCCGCTCGCCGCCAGCGCGCTCTCGCGTGCCGCGGCGGCGGCCCCCGGCTGGCGGCCGCGGCAGCTGCGCCGCCTGGGCGGCGTCGGACAGCTCGACGAGGTCGAGCCGTTCACGCACCACCCACCAAGCCACCCCAACCCAACCCGAAGGCTTCGGTTTGCCCTCCATTTCCAGTGTGGGGGTGTGTCGGGGAACATGGGAAAAAGGCACATGGAACCCGTACCCCCCCCAACCCGAAATTCGGGTCACATTCGGGTCTTCGGGTTGGGGTTGTGGTGGTCTGGTAGGTGGTCAGTTCACCGCCGCCGGCGGGACCGCCACGGCCGCCAGCCGAGGGCCGGCTCTGCGACCCGCGCCGATGTTGGCGGGGGTCACGGGGCGAGCCGCTGGGGCGGCAGCGCGAGGGCGCGGAGGTAGACGATCCTGAGGAGCAGTGCTGAGGGGACAGCCGGAATCGATGCTGCGTACATGTGTACCTCTGCATCTCCCTGCCCCTTCGGTCCATCCTCAGCCTCTTTCGACGGCGAGCTCTGCTCGAGAAGCTTCGACAGGGGCATCCAAGGGCTCGCATCCGTACCTTACCATCAATTTTGGCTGTACTGGCGGCGGCTCCAGCTCCGGCGCCGCCCCTGGCGCCGCCCCTGGCGCCGCCCCTGGCGACTCAGGGGAGGGGGGCCAACGCCGACCGCAGAAGTCCGTGCGGACCTCCGGAAGACTACCTGTGCGTATGCGTTTTTGCTCCTGTCCTTGTTGGAGGAGGCTCTGCAGGCCGCTGCCGCCAGCTTCCCGGAAGTGGCGACAGGTCAAGGGGCAACGGTCGGGGGGGTAGTCCCAGGGGGGTAAGCATCGACCTGGCACGAACGGCTCCGCTATGGGGGGGCCTGTCACCGATCTCTCCGCGATGTATCGCCGATTCCAGGGCAATGTTCCCCGCCCCCCCTGAGTCCATCCCCTTGTGGCATTCGGGTCTTCTGTAACTCCGGCCTCCAGCGATCTGGGCCCTCCTGGAGCGCCCTCGGCGAGACGGATCCGCTGGAGCGCACCACGCTGGAAAATCGCTGAGAGCTGACGACAACGTCCAGAAACCTCGAGGCTCGAACTTCGAGACTCGAGGTTCGAAGCTCCACCCATTGCTGCCCCTCGCCAGGGGAGCAGGGGCTGAGCGCCCTCTGCAAGGCGGCGGGCGACGCCGGCGGCGCCGGCGATGCGAGGGCGCGCCTGTCCGCGGGCCTGGGCTGGCTGCTGCGGCACGGGCTCGCGGAGGCGCCGCAGGAGCCAGTATCATATTTCCTGTCCCCGTCCCCACCGGGCCATGACGATGGTGGTGGTGATTGTGATGGCGATGGCGATGGTGATTGTGATGATGCTGGTGCTGATGCTGATGCTGGTGGTGGTGGTGCTGCTGCTGCTACTGCTGCTGCTGCTGCTCGTCATCATCATCATCATCATCATCATCATCATCATCATCATCATCATCATCATCATCATCATCATCATCATCATCATCATCATCATCATCAGCAGCATCAGCATCAGCATCATCATCATCATTATCATTATCATTATCATTATCATCGTCATCGTCGTCGTCAGCGTCATCGACGTTGTCTCTGTCAACGTCATCATTGTCCTCAGCATTATCATTATCAGTACTGTCGATATTGTCATCATGATTAACATGTTTAGAATTGTTATCAGTATCATTGTTCCCAACCCTCCTTGTGTTGGGTACTCGTTTGGAATAGAGCACTGTGGTATCCACTTCCCGCCCTCTCCTCCTCCTTCTCTCCTGTGTTCGCGGTGCCCTGCGGGGCTGCGATCTGCGCAACTGTCGCCACTTTCGTGGGTTCCTGGGAGGCCCAGCGGAGGTACGTCATACGCAGATCACTTTGAGGCCTCCCTGTCCCCTGCGGGGCTGCGATCTGCGCAACCGTCGCCACTTTCGTGGGTTCCTGGGAGGCCCAGCGGAGGTACGTCATACGCAGATCATTTTGAGGCCTCCCTGTCCCCTGCGGGGCTGCGATCTGCGCAATTGTCGCCGCTTTGGTGGGTTCCTGGGAGGCCCAGCGGAGGTACGTCATACGCAGATCACTTTGAGGCCTCCCTGTCCCCTGCGGGGCTGCGATCTGCGCAATTGTCGCCACGTTCGGTGGTTCCTGGGAGGCCCGCGGAGTACGTCATACGCAGATCCTTTGAGGCCTCTCCTGGTCCCCTGCCGGGGCTTGCGATCTGCGCACTTGGCGCCACGTTCCGTTGGTCGCCTGGGAGGCCCAGCGGAGGTACGTCATACGCAGATCACTTTGAGGCCTCCCTGTCCCCTGCGGGGCTGCGATCTGCGCAACTGACTCCACTTTTGTGGGTTCCTGGGAGGCCCAGCGGAGGTACGTCATACGTAGATCACTCTGAGGCCTCCCTGTCCCCTGCGGGGCTGCGATCTGCGCAACTGTCGCCACTTTCGTGGGTTCCTGGGAGGCCCAGCGGAGGTACGTCATACGCAGATCATTTTGAGGCCTCCCTGTCCCCTGCGGGGCTGCGATCTGCGCAACTGTCGCCACTTTCGTGGGTTCCTGGGAGGCCCAGCGGAGGTACGTCCTACGCAGACCACTTTAAGGCCTCCATGTCCCCTGCGGGGCTGCGATCTGCGCAACTGTCGCCACTTTCGTGGGTTCCTGGGAGGCCCAGCGGAGGTACGTCCTACGCGGACCACTTTGAGGCCTCCCTGTCCCCTGCGGGGCTGCGATCTGCGCAACTGTCGCCACTTTCGTGGGTTCCTGGGAGGCCCAGCGGAGGTACGTCCTACGCGGACCACTTTGTGGCCTCCCTGTCCCCTGCGGGGCTGCGATCTGCGCAGCTTGGTCGCCACTTTTTCGTGGGTTCCCCCCCCCCCTGGGGGGGGAGGGGGCCCTAGCGGAGGTACTGTCATACGCAATCACTTTGAGGCTTCCTGTCCCCTCCCCGGGGCTGCGGATCTGTGCAATTGTCGCCCACTTTCGTGGTACCTGGGAGTGCCCACGGATGTACTGTCATACGCATATCACTTTTAGGCCTCCCTGTCCCCTGCGGGCTGCGAATCTGCGAAGCTGTCGCACTTTCGTGGTTCCCTGGGAGCCCAGCGGAGGTACGTCCTACGCAGATCACTTTGAGGCCTCCCTGTTTTGTGCGGGGCTGCGATCTGCGCAACTGTCGCCACGTTCGTGGGTTCCTGGGAGGCCCAGCGGAGGTACGCCCTACGCAGATCAATTTGACGTCCCTGTCCCCTGCGGGGTTGCGATCTGCGCAACTGTCGCCACTTTCGTGGGTTCCTGGGAGGCCCAACGGAGGTACGTCCTACGCAGATTATTTTGAAGCCTCCCTGTCCCTTGCGGGGCTGCGATCTGCGCAACTGTCGCCACTTCGTGGGTTCCTGGGAGGCCCAGCGGAGGTACGTCATACGCAGATCACTTTGAGGCCTCCCTGTCCCCTGCGGGGCTGCGATCTATGCAACTGTCGCCACTTTCGTGGGTTCCTGGGAGGCCCAGCGGAGGTACGTCATACGCAGATCACGTTGAGGCCTCCCTGTCCCCTGCGGGGTTGCGATCTGCGCAACTGTCGCCACGTTCGTGGGTTCCTGGGAGGCTCAGCGGAGGTACGTCATACGTAGATCACTTTGAGGCCTCCCTGTCCCCTGCGGGGCTGCGATCTGCGCAGCTGTCGCCACTTTCGTGGGCTCCTGGGAGGCCCAGCGGAGGTACGTCATACGCAGATCACGTGCTGCGATCTGCGCAACTGTCGCCACTTTCGTGGGTTCCTGGGAGGCCCAGCGGAGGTACGTCATACGCAGATCACTTTGAGGCCTCCCTGTCCCCTGCGGGGCTGCGATCTGTGCAACTGTCGCCACTTTCGTGGGTTCCTGGGAGGCCCAGCTGAGGTACGTCTTACGCAGACCATTTTGAGGCCTCCCTGTCCCCTGCGGGGCTGCGATCTGCGCAACTATCGCCACTTCCGTGGGTTCCTGGGAGGCCCAGCGGAGGTACGTCTTACGCAGACCACTTTGGGGCCTCCCTGTCCCCTGGGGGGCTGCGATCTGTGCAATTGTCGCCACTTTCGTGGGTTCCTGGGAGGCCCAGCGGAAATTCGTCTTACGCAGACCACTTTGAGGCCTCCCTGTCCCCTGAGGGGGCTGCGATCTGTGC